AAGAATTATTCTGATACGGGAGGGAAAACGAACAGGCAGAGCTAAGGCACGCAATCAGGCCCTCTTTTCCATCGTAAACATCGTAGCCTGGCTATCCGAAGATGCCTCGAGTCGAATGAATTTTGCTTCATTCGCATACTCGATGCGACATCCTGTCAATGAGGCGAGGTGCACTCGATAGGTGCGACATAGGTGCGCTTAACTCTGTTGTTCCTCGGTTTCACAGACCACATACTCTACCTAAAAAGTGTGCTTTCGTTACTGGGTTTGATCTCGTGGTGTCGTGGCTAAAAACGGGACGTGTGTCTGAACGTGTGCGCGCGCGTGTATGCGTATGTACGAGTGGGTGCGTATGCTGCAAGACAGAAATATTCCTAGCGAAAACTCGGGTACGTCATCTAGATCGGTGGTAAAGATTCCTCAGATGCTTTTCGAGTGGTGGGTGACCTAGATCCGCGAATAAAAAAAAAAAAAGAGGGTCGTCGATCAAGAGTTGGGTGATTACTTGGTGTACTCGAGAAACTGTGAACGTGTCGAAGCTTTAAAAAAAGGGGAGAGAAAGAGACAAGTGTGAGAGAGTGATAACAACGAGGGAAGAGAATTTCGAACCAGGCAAACAGATCTCAAGATGCATCGCAAAAAAGCAGAGAGAAAAATTGGAACGAGGTTCAAAATCTCGATTGTTCATCGATATACTCCGATATTTCTTTCGCTCGTCAATTCGATTTTCGGAGATTCACATTCTTTTTTCAACTTCAAACCTGCTTTCTTTCCTTCGGTACGATTGAAAAAAATTATTCGGAGTACGTGTTAGGTCTATATACAATGTGTACAAATTCGGGATTGCGAGTATCTAAGATTTACGACTGCGTGATCGAACGATCGTACGTGCGTTCGAGTACGGAACAAGTTCGACTAGAGACAGGTGTGAGAATGGGTAATCAAAGAAGCGTTGCAAGATGAAATCTTCGGATGTCAAAAGTTCTATTTGGAATGTGGACAGTGCGATAGAAAACGGTGAGAATGAACAGAGCAGAATGCTGGGAAAATACTGGGAGGTGATTAGAGATACAAAAAGAAGTGAAAAACGAAAGTTAAGAAAGAAAAACTCCAAACTTACAAACAATAAGCACATCACAAAAGATCAACGTTATGTACAATGCTGAGGGGGAAAACGGATCGTATTTACACGCAGTCAGTCGTTCGATCTCGAACGCTTTTAAGATTAAAGAAGGAAAGAAAATTTGAAAAAGAGAAAGACAAAATGAACGGTTGCAAAAGAAGCATTCTGCACTTACAATCTTCCTTACTTACAAGTGTTACGGTGCAACAACGAATACCTTACATCTACGATTACAATAGCTATAAGAAAGTTCGACTTTCACATGCTAATACAATAGACACAGAAATAGATCTAGGAAAACCAGTACTCTCAACGTTCTACGTATCTGTGGCTACTTGAATTCGTTAATGAAAAAACTCACTTTGAGCAAAGACTGTATTTGCGAAAAAACAGAAAAGCGTCTAAATTAGTCGAAATCCGACGAGATGCAAATAGAAATTAGTTTGATAATTAGTCGGGTAGTAAAAGAACAGGTAGGGGGGGAAAGGGTGAAAAGAAAAATCAGCGTCACGACGATAGTAAAAGATCGCGAAGCAATCCAAGGGACTCGAAGGAGCAACAAACCAGATCGACACCAGGAAGAGAGAAAAAGTGTACGCATACAAGCAGATTAACCATCGACGTTACATAAGAAAGAGAGAAATTAAAAAAGAAAAGGAAGGAGAATTAAAAGAGAGAGAGAGAAATGAGAAAAAAAAGAAAAACAAACATACGTACAACCATACAAAAATGGACAGACAGATGGACGAACAGACAGACAAAGTTACCTATGTAGCTGGTGACGAGGTTACGGAATTTGCGATGATTCCCCTTAATCTCAGGCAGGTCCACTTTTGGTATTCGATTTTCGAGTTTCGATCGGTAGCAGGTCAGATCAGGTCATTTGGGGTTGACACGAAAAGAAGTGCACGGGACACAAAAACATCAACATTTAGCTAACTCCGCACTTAAACATCTTTCATAGATACCGGATTATTAAAACGATCGATAGATCGTAGGGACTGCCGAGAATCAAAGTAGCAATACAAAGGAAAGCGGGGGTACGTTCTTGCCTCGAGATAGAATCGTAGATAAGAGACAGTAAGGGAGAGAAAAGCGACGGTAAAAGAGTGTCATTCTCGATGTTGCGAATGATCAAACAAATAATTACAGCGGGTCGTTTGTCTTTGATGTATGACCTGTCGCGGGTTCATTTGCATTTGCACGATCCTCGCGAACCCTCCTCGCGACGGTGTCTCGATTACTCGAACATCCGTCGAGATGCGTTCCTTTGATCTCGTATTCCCGCAATCCGCGAAACCATGGCTGCCTGAACGCAGTCGCGAACGCTAACCCGGATCTGAATCGTGGAAACCCGGGGAAATTGCGTTTTTATTTGAAACACAGCCTCGTTAGTCCCGCCAACCTGCGTTACATTCAACTTTTGTTTTTTCGCCAGCGTGGATCGCACGAATCTTAGGTAACCGGCTAATCAGATCTTAACTCGATTTTGATGGACTCTTAATTCGGTAATAACAGCCTGGAAGACTCGTGTTAAACGAGACGATTGTAGAACACGAATTCGTAACGTTCGCTTGGCAAGTGGATCACGTAATCCCAGCAAACGCGAATTCATCGTTTTCGTTCGAATAATCGAGATATCATCGCGCGAGTGATCCGAGTGGTGTTTCTCTGAATGAAATACGAAAGTTGGGGCAACTGAAATGGATCGTTTCGTTTGAATAGGGGATGAGAAAAATAAGGGGAGGAAGGACAGATGTTGCGCACGTATAAAAGATGGCGGATGTGTCGGGCGGATCGGGTGGAAAAGATCGTCTCGTTGATTTTTCCGCCTTTCGGTGGATTCCGGATTTCGTACTTTGGCAAACGCATCGGCAAAGTACAGCTCGAAGTAGGTGATTGAAACCCAATTTGTACGTCGAAACACAAACAACAAACACATCGCATGATACGCTATTTAAGACAGAGTACATAAAGTGTGACGCGACGGTATAGTGCATAAAATAAAATTTCATAGATGAGTCGATGGCTACGATGAAGGGGATTTCGAGAGTTAGACGATGAGATAGTATTTAGTAGTATACGTAGCAGTAGCAGTAATAGTGGCGATGGTGATGGTAAATAGTAGCGGGGATGTTAGCTAACAGAAGTATCGGTATGGGGAGAGAAGTATAAAAACAGAGTGATGGTGAGATGGTGGTCGAAAGAGACAGAATGAAAGTAAATATAACGTGTACGGGTAGGCTTTATAAATGAAATGAAGTTGTAAACAGCGAAAATGTTTATTGCAAAATATATAAATATGTACATTGGTGTCCACGTTGAGCTGATAGCTGAATATTTTCACAATAAAAGAGAACGTGTGTCTACTTCTACCATTTTCTTCTCTCTCTCATACATACTCTCCCTTTCTCTCTGGTATACACTCTCTGATACATCCATGCCGTACTAGCTAGCTTTGCCAAAATATACTCGACTGTACACGCCGTGAAGACTTTTCTACGTTCGCGATAGATCGCACAAAATTGTGTAATCATTGTTGCAATAGCTAGTGCTACTTACTCGAATAAACGCGTATAAAAATTTATATGATTCTTCTCTTCGGATCTATACATGGTTGATAAATGGTAAACCTAATGTCACAGGTATCTAATCCGTCAAGTTCGTTAAAACAGGAATCTTGTGCGATCTATGACATTATTTCAATGGCAGACATCAGCGAGTCGTCAGTGATTGCTCTCTCGCGTGTTCGTAAAATAGAAACCTCTGTAATCACGAGCCATTTACTACTCTGTACGCTACTAGGAACACGTGGAAATAGTTTTACAAAACTTTGGCACGTTAACGATCAAGGAACTTCGACGACGGAAAAACTTGATTAAAAATCACTCGATAGACGTATGCATATGCTGTTAAAATTCAGTTCATACGGGACGGCTACGTTTCAGCTGCGAAATGTTACGTAATTACCATTACAATGATACGCTTCCCACGAAAACCTCATGCCTTATCATCGATCCGTTTTTTCTTTACTTAACGATTACTTCTCAAGTTGCTTCGATACTCTCCGTGCGTCACTTAGCAGAATCGTGCTCGACATTAGCGACATTACTGGCAACAAAATACTCAGCTACGTATGTGGACACCAGTGGACTGGTTACTTTATGCTCGTTAAATGGCCATTTTACTAGACATCTCGAGAGAAAAGAATGTATACGTCGAAATGGGGTGCAACGTGAACAATGAGGTCGAATATTGAAGAGAACAAAATAATAATAAAACTTGAAGAACGTTATGGAACTGAACGAAAATAAAAATATTGAAAAAAAAAGTATGTGTGCCGTGTTAGCAATTAGTTACACCACAATACAAAACCCAAAAGTGATCAACTGACATTCAATAAACCCAGGATATTTGATCGATAGCGTTGATTATTAAGGAGATGCAGGTATCCGAAAAGTCGACGTCGAGGCTGCCAACTACGTTCACTGAATTTTACAACGGGGTATATACTATATGTGTATAATAAAACATACGATTGGAAATGAAATTTCTTTTTCTTAGGAATACTCCTAAAACATCGATATGAGAACGCAGTCAGTGCGTGCGCAATTTTCGGATATCCGCACAGGATTTATCGCATTCTCTGCAGTCACTTAATTACCTTAAGTCACTATTACGATTATTAGAATCTTTCTGGACGGCTAAATTTGTCTGTGATAAATAGTGTGATAGAAAGAAACTGATATTCGCTCATTCTCGCTTCGAACAGCTCTTTTTTCTCTGGTAGAAAAAGAAATAGAGAATAAAACAAAAAGGTAAAAATAAAGGAATGATATATGCGAATGGAGTCAATGAAATTGAAGATTTACATAATCCAATGATCCGATATATTCGAGTAATTCGATCCGATATAGCGAACTTATCATGCATTTTGAACAAATTAAATAACGACTCACTGAATCGAATAAATAAGTTCGAACGTTCAGTGACAGCGATTATAGTATAATAAGAAAGCTAAAAAATATATATATATATAT